CCAAGCCTGAATTGGTTGAAAGAAGCTCCCAGGAACCTGCAGTATTAAAGGAACTTGATCACAAAGTCTTTTTTTTTAATAGAAAGAGAACCTAACTAGGACCCATTGCTGAAGACAGTAGAGTAAATGCCCTTTATGTATCTGAGCTATTAATGTCACTAAGAATCTACAGAAAACATGAAAAAATTAAGGCAAGAAACAACTATTGAAAATATTGTTGGCTGTTATTGAAAAAGTATGGGTGGAATAAAAGACAATATTAATGTGTGATCAGTTAAGATGGGAACTTTCTTTTTCTTGTTTATATATACAATGGAATGTGATAATGCACAAAAGTCAAAATATATGTAAAATATGCAAAATATGTTTGCGTCTGTTTCCAAGCTTAGGAAGGATAAGACAGACTATTTCAATGAAAGAGGAAGACCTCCGAATTGATTTCCAAAGAAACTTGAAATATACTCAATGTTTTGACATGCAATCAATTGAGGTCTTCTAATCCAACTCTCTATTTATTCAGAATACTTTAAAAACAAATTTTAAACAAGGAATGACATACAGAAAACAGGACTGAAAACACAAAATGAAGACGCGAATTAATGCATTCACTGATTAACACATTAGAATTGTTTTTAAGGAAGCCTTTTTATGATCCAGAAATCCATAAATCGCATGCAGTAAAATAACAGGGCTTGCTGCTAAAATAGCCTAGCTCAGGTCTTCCTACCAATATCTTTTTTTGCAAGAAATCCCTTGCACAGGTTTTGTAATACAACATTACACTAGAGTACTGACAGATATATGACTTGGGGAGGTATACTATGGCCTTGGATAGAGCTCTCTTGTCAGGCTTCTATGGTGGGTGTAATGGAGCATTTCCCTTAGCTTTTCTTAAAAGAAGCAAGTCAGCTTCAACTGTCAGAGGCTCACCCAAATGACTGGAATGGAACATACCAAGTTCTCTTAATAATTTTATCTCAATTATTTAGCATTGCCAGCATTACATTCATTTATCAATAACGTAATTATTCCTAGTACCATCCTGAAAACAATAAGTGTCAGAAATGCTGATGTTATTGAAACAATAAAATCATTAGACACAATTCCATTTGTAATGGCCATGATTCATTTTCTATGACTTAGCTATATGGTAGGTTTCAGAAGGATACTGAAGTTCGCATAGCAATCTATGTGAATAATTAAACATTCCACCAAAATAATAACTTTTAAGACTGCCAACACACACACACACACACACACACACACACACACACAGACACAGACACACACACACACACACACGAATTTACAATTAAGTGGAAGTTGAGAATCTGTTTGGATAGTTCCTTTCTCAAGGTTTGTCCCCCAAATAGCTGATTCACAGAAAAAGCCTATAAACAAATATCCTGCTCTCTGTGTTGGCTGCAACTGTAGAGATGTCTAGATGACAACTACTGTACTAGCACAATTAATACAACAATAAAAACACTGGCACTATAGCAAAATATACTGATAGTTTAGTGTGAAACCTGCTTGTAATTTGAAAAAAAAAATTCTTTATGCTGACACAGAAAACAGAAACTAAGATGCTTGTGTAATCTGAACCATCACACACACACATCATCCATATAAAGTCCCACTAGTTTGAATGACTCTTACTCCTAATTAAATATACAAAACATAGAACTTGCCCATCTTTCAGTGGCCAAACGTTATCGATCAACCCAAGACATGTTTTGGTGTATAGATGCCAGCTTTCCATCTGCAGGAAACCTTGCAAGTAAGAAAACTTTCAATGAACAAGAGCTGTGGAATTTCAATCATGTTAAACTAACTTGGACTGCATAGTTCAGAAATTGTTACTCACATAAAAGATCTCTCTGAAACACTTTAAAGATATATGTGTGATGATTACTTATTTAGTGGTTAGATTTATATTTAATCTTTCTTTCTGGAACTCAAGAAGGCATACAGAGCAATCTCTTTTTCTGTTTTTCTTCTAACGACAATCTTGTGAGGTAGATTGGCTTGAGAATGGCCCAAAGTCACCAAACTAAGCTTCCATGGCTGAGGGTAAACTAAAATCTGCATCTCCCTGTTCCTAGACCAACATCTTAATCAAGCTGACTCTCGACTGTATTATTCTAAAACTATGTATTATCCTAAAACAATTCAAATACTTCTAAAAGTATTATTCTAAAATAATTCAAATCATACTGTGGAGAGATAAAGCTTGAAATTGTTTTTGAGTTCCATTTTGGTGTACTTTCAAAAGCTTCATACAAAGTAGATATTTTCCAAAAAAGAACTTTATTCAGGTCTAGATAGAAGTGCCAAGGACTGAATCTGGGAATATTTTTCTGAAAAAATATGTTCTACAGCAGTTGCAATTTTCAAACTACATTGTACTTTTATGTACTATAATTATAAGATGTAGGTTCAAGTAATTCAAAATGGGGTGTTCTGACTTTTCCAGAAGTATTTTGACCCTTTTATTTCAAACTCAAAACACTTCCTGAATGGTCAAAACAACACAGGAATATTTCCAATAAGATCATGAGAGTTATTTTCAACTCAAAATTATGCTTTGTGCTCATATCAGGCTTCCTAGATCATTTTTTTTTCAAATTTAAAACATTTTATAGATTAATAACAAAGAATCACCTTGCAAAATATTAATCCTTGTACATTTTGCACTACAAACTTTAGAATTTACAAACAATTTTCAAAGGTCTACTTTATTAAAAATAACAATGCTTTGAAATAAAGGCCTATCCATAATTAAATATATTGTTTTGAATGAAGAAATCTAGTTAACAGCTCACAATCAAAATTTAAACAGGAATTTATATATATATATTATTTTGCAGCCACATCCTTCCATAGTAATTTTAAACAAAATTCAGTTCGGTGAGGTTTATTTATTTATACGCCTTTATTATTTAAAAAAAAAAACTCAAGGCAGGAAACATACCTAATATTTATTCTCAAATACTATATAGGATTGCAGTGCATTTACTACTGAATATAAATCCATTCATATTTAAGTAGTTTTAATTAAAATATAGTTGTTAAAGACTAGTTGTTTGATAACAAAATATGGATATACTGAAAATTAATATGAATCTATATAATTTAATACAACTGAATAGTTATTAACATTAGTTTAATATTCATAAGTTATATTAAATGTTAACTATGCAGTTCAGAAATGAAAATAATTCCATGTATGTGAAAGTATATAACCTATCTGAACACAATTAGAACTTGCCATAGTATTACCTGCAGTTGCTCTTATGATCTATACTGAGATTTGTATACGTTCTTCAAGAAAAATGGAATGCACATTTTTTAAAAAAAAATGATATTTCAGAACTTTTACCCAAAGCATACAATTTAAGTGTACAATTTAAATTACTGTATTCAAACTATAAAGTGTTACACTTTTTTTCATAAAGTTACTTTGTTACTATATTCTAAAAGCTGAACCAAAGCTCAACATTTTTATAATATGTATGTACAACTGAATAAGTATGGTTTTTCACCAAGCATCTGACTTGTTCAAAAATATTTGTTTACATTGACAACTAAATTAGAAAAGACACTTTTATTAATGTATACATATTATCAGAGAACATTGCTCTAGAAAAAATTGAGGTGTTTTTTTTAAAAAATTCAAACAATAAGGAGTAGCATATACCAAGCTGCAGGTTACTTGGTTAGATTCCCTAGTCAAGGCCTACTGAGATATATGGGCCATCTGTGCACATATCACAGTTCAAACATACCTTGCAGGATTTAATAAATCAACAACACAATATTCTCTTATTTTAACAAAATCATTAAAAATATCCCAGCAACTTCACAACAGAACCAACCAAACCATAGGAGCATGATTTGGAATTGGATGTATTTAAAGTTTTCTACTTCTCCAACTTCAAATTAAATCTAAACTTTGCAATGGAATCAATTTAATATAAAACACTATCAAATATAGTCCTTCAAATTAATGAGATTTATATACACTATACATATAGAGTTTAGGATTGAGGTAGGATTCTTAACCCTTGTATAGGTAGCAGTTCCTTTAGATGAGTATCTTTGAGTTCTAACTACTCAAATCAAACAAATGAATCCTTAACAGAATACTTGATGTAATGTTGCAATATTAGAATAAATTCTACATTAAGTCCTTAGACAGATACATTAATTCACAAAATAAACAATGATAAATAGATGTAATGTTATTTTGCTTATATGTAACCCTAAAAAGGACCTGGGTTTTAGAAGTGTCATAACTTAATAAATGTAACTGTGGCAGAAAGAGGTTCAACAATTAATGTACTCTGATTTCATACTGTTCCAAAATACATAGCAAAATATTTCAATACCACTTCAAAGCAAAATTATCCAGGTAACAGATTCAATCCATTTGCTATTACATTGCCAGAATCCAACTTCTCAAGACCACCAACAGTAAATGCTCATAAATCTTTCTATAAAAAACGATGGAATAGCTGTCTGAAGGACTTTTCTATCTCCCTGCACCCAAACATCACCCACAAAGCATAAAAAGCCACCAATCTATAGCAGTTTGGGTTTCATTGGAAGCCATAAATATGCAAGGACAAAAAAAAAATACCAGTCATGAAAGGCTTCACTGCACACAACTAGGAGCATAATAATAATAATGAACAGACACCTATCAACCTCCTATATTCATCCAAATGAAACAACTGCCCCTCTAACACCTTTCAATCTGTGCATGCTAAAAAAAAATAAAACAGAAATCAAGGGACTACTTTTTTTTTTCCAGCAACACACTGTGCTCAAAAGTAGAAACAGAAAACGAGAGAAGGAAGGAGGGAGGAAGAGAGAATATCAAGAAAACAAACACCCTCCCACTATCCAGATCGCTTCGCCTCGGGAGTGAAATTGTGGGGTCGGAGAAGGCACAAGCTTGCCTTACCTCCCTTTTGCATATAGAGAGACCAGCTTACCTTGGCTGCACCCCACTTTTTATTTCCTCTCCTGGAGCAGTGGAGAAAGAGACACACACACAAAGGGTAATAAAGGGGGAGGAGGGGAGAGCAGGGGGATCGAGGGGGGGGGGAGCTGGTGAATTGGTGGCTGCTGCTCCTCTCTCTCTCTCTCTCTCTCTCTCTGTGTGTGTGTGTGTGTGTGTGTGTGTATGTGTGTTGAGGTGTCTTCAGCCAGGGCCAAACAGCAGCAGCAGCAGCAGCAACAGTAGTAGAGGAGACGGAGCTGTGTTGCTAAGAGGCTTTTAGGTCTCTTTTCTCCTCTCGTCTGACGGCCAAAGCGGGGGAAGAAACTCTCCCTCTTCACTAGGGTCTCTCTGGGATCCTCTAGCTAGGCTGGGGGTGGGGGAGAAACTCAATCTTCTCGGAGCTAAGCTCCCCCCCCCCGCAAACCAATTCAAGGTGGAATTAGTGCTCTGTCCCTTTAACAATATAAATAAAAGGTCCCCCCAGTCTCCCCCCCCTTCCCTCTCTTCTTCATCATCAGCTGCTGCTGCTGCTGAGGCTCTGGCTCTGGCTAGGAGAAAGATGGGAGGCTGTCAGTGCGCATGCGCCCCGTGAGAGCTCGCTTGGGTTAAAGGAGGGGGGAGGGAAAAGTTTCCTCCCATAAGGCCCCGCGCCTTAAAAAGCGAACCCGGAAAAAGATTCCGCAAAGATGGAAGAAAAAAAGGGGGGGCGGAAGTGGTAGGCGGGGAAAAAAACAAAATCGGCGCGTCTAGCGGAAGTGGGGGTGGGGGTGGAGTAGAGGCGAGAAGGAAGAGAGCCTTGAAAAGGCCCGCGACGGACAGACAGGCAAGGCTTGTTATACAAGTCAGGCTGTAGAATGGCCGTGACGCGCCTGCGCATTCGCGGGTGAAATCATTTCGCACGGGAAGCGCGTGCGTGGTGTTTGCTGCGAGGTTTGAGCGGTTCGCTGAGGTGAAGACAATGAAAGAGTCGCGCCGCGGAGAGTTTCTGCGGTTGGGTCCAGAAGAGGGGGAACCCGGGGGGGGGGGGGCGTAGGGGGGGGGGGAGCTGAACGGAGCGGGGCCCCGTAAGTCCGGAATCCCGCGTCGCCTGGTCTTCGTTTTATTGAACGGGATTTCCGAGAATGGCAAAGTTGGGATCTTGGCAGCTCCAGGAGGCTTTTGAGGCGCCTGAGGAAAACGAGCAGACCGGGTCCCCCCTCCCCACCCCTTGGGGTTGCTTCTGAGGAAACCGCGCTGTAAATTGAATCCGAAGTGTCGCTTTCTCGGGCTAGGATCACCCCGAATGTAGGTTTTCAAAAATGGCCCAGGTTTGAGAGGATTGGAAACCTCAGGTCTTGAGGGAAGGGTGCAGGTTTATTTTTTTCCGAGGTCAGCCGGCGATTTGCTCTCGTTTCCTGCTCCTGAGGTTTTAATCTCCCTTTCGTAGACCTTTTGATAAGCGACTGACTTGATGCTGCTGCTGCTGCTGCCTCTTAGATAAGTTTTGGTGGAAGGAACCGGACGGTTTTAGGATGCCAAGTCCACTCGCGAACCTATTTCACTGACACGTATGTTCACCAGGCTGGGGCTGGTGGTTTGTTGAACTCTTCAAAACTGCTGACTACCAACCACGGGGTCTCTGCTGTTATTTTTAGCGTAAAAAGAGACGTTGTGACTGTTCTTTGGGAGCTGAAAAAGTCATCTTCAATTAAATGGGTCTCAGTAAATGTGTTTAATAAATAGATAAGTATTAAACAGCTGCCCATTTCATTGAAAATGACTCTTTGGATCACTTGTAGCGTCAGCAATTCCCCAATCCTCTTTTTGCATCATGCCAGGGGAGCATATTCATATATCAAATTGTGAAATGAAACCTCTGCAATTCTGGTGTGGGGTTTTTGTTATGCCTTTTGTTCACAAAGCTTATGGGGGGAAAAATGGAGCAGAAATATTTCCTAAAAATGTAAATTCTAAAAAGCTATTTCTTTCATACTGTTTCACTGATGGTTAAACTTACTGAGACTACTATAAGTTAACTCAAAGAGGTGTGGGGAAGTGCTTTTTCACCATTTGATATATGAATGTGCTCCGTTCCTAGGATGCAGAAATAGGATTGGGGAATTGCTGACACTACAAGAGAACCAGAGTTCTGTCTATGTTACTTTTGAAATGAACTCTATACTGCAAGTCTTAGACACCAATTATTTTTAGCGGGTCTGTAAAGATAATGCAATCATGGTAGTAAAAATTTGTACAGATATTTTGAAGAATTGTTAGTATAGAATAGACTTCCATGATAATGAAAACATATTGATGTTAAGAATTGTGACTACTTAAGCATTTTCTAGTAGTTACATGCATTTGATAGGAAACATCCAGATGCTCAGGCACCTCTGAGTAGGCTTTTATGTCATCCTGTGGGTAACTGTCATGTCACCTACCTACCACCAAGATTCAGATGTTAGCTTTTCATTCACTTTGATTCGACCTTCAGGCACTGGACCAGTATACTAGTTGAGTCCAATATGTGAGGTTGGTTAGTCCAGGATCCAGGTTTATTTGGTGGCTTGGTCATACTGTATTCTCTACCTGTGTGTTTATTTCAGGTTTTTTTTTCCCCTAACAGCTATTTAAGTCATTGTTTTGACTTTTATGTTACAGGTAATCCTTGACTTATGACTTATGTAAAAAGTGACATATGGCCATCCTTGCATTTTCAACCATTACGGTGTCTCTGAGGTTGTGTGATTGCACATTGGGCGCTTAGCAACAGCATGTGTTTGTGATGATTGCAGTGTTGTGGGATCACATGATCTTTATTTGCAGCTTTCCAGCTGGCTCCCAACATGCAAAGTCAATGGCAAAAGTTGCATTCACTTAACCATTTTGTGGTGACAAACATTGTTGTAAAATAGGTGCTATCACATGGTGACTAAATTATTGCTTAGTGATAGACATTCTGGTCTAATTGTAGTCTTCTCTGAGCTTGGTTATTTTCTTGCATACGTTTCATTATCCAAATGAGGTAACATCAAAAGTTGCTGGTCAATTGTAGTCATAATTCAAGGACTACCTGTGTTTTGTTTTCATGCTTTTATCTATCCCAGAGTCACTCTGTTGTACAGTTTACAGAGGGCATTCATGTATATAACAGCCAAGGACCTTACAGCCTTCAGGATTAGATTATGAGATTCATTTATGCAGAATACAGTAGGTTAAAAAAAATGCATTAATCTATTAGAAATATATATGTACGGTACTTGAATAATTTTATTAGGCAAATATATATAGAATTGTGGTTGTCTTATAATGGACATGCTTTTTGTCATATTTTTGTTAATGCATTTTTGTGTTTTTTTGACTGAAACTATCATTTTTATGTCCTTTTTTTGTTATTAAAACATAAAGCTTTCAGGATTAGGTTTTTAAAAGGCATGGTTTTAGAAGTAACAATAAGTCAGGTTTTGAAGAGAAATCAGATTATTGAAGGGAGATTTGGATCTGAACATTTTGCAACTGAATTTTTAAACTGAATAACGTGTAAACATTTAAGGACTCAATTGCTGTTTGCTCACTGAATGCTAAATAGCATTACATGTGACTAACAATATAATTTTGTAAATTTTAAATCTATTTTTGCTATTCTATGTTAAAAAGGGAATAATTATTACTGATAAAATTAAGTTATGTAATATATTTTATCCTTTTAGAATGTGAATTAAAATGAGCAAACGGAAGTTGAAGGAAGATAGCTTTACAAGTGGGGAATGCATTTCAAAGGTTGGTAATATTCTTACAATTGTAACATTCTTACAATTTCATTTTTAAACACAAGGGAAAATACAGTTTAGTGATTTCTCCTAATAAACAAGTAACTAACTGTGTAAATGGGATTTCCTTAGCAAAGGGGACATTTTGCACAAGGGTTTTTGTTAGGAATACGAAGCTGTGTGCAATGAGGATCTTCTTCACATGCCTGATATTAGTTTTGAAATCAAGAAAACATTCAGCAATTAAACCCAAATAAGGTGGAGTTGCTATCTGTTAGTTCCAGTGGTGTATCCCAAAGTAGACCATGATTGGGGGTCCTTCGTGATTCTTGACTACTACTGGAAAATCAAAAGACAATAATAATCAGAGTCTTGTGCCCAGCTCTGGTTGATAAGCCATTTGCAACCCTACCTGCTGGAGTGATTTGTCCACTCTGGGCTTTGCAAGGGACATTGCTGTGCATGGAGTCTGCTTTGAAGATCACTTGGAAATTGAACTTGATCCAGAATGGGGCAGCCTACATGTTAGACACTCAGTACTCTGATCAAATTACATTAATTCTCTGTGCTTTACACTGGCTGCCAATAATTTTCCAGGTGCAATTAAAAATGATTTTTTTCCCCTGCTATGTCTTTTCATTAGTTGCAAAACAATCTCCTTCAATTGTTTTGACATATCAAAAAGTTGGGAGAAACTTCATCGGATCCAGCAACCCATGTGAGGGGGACTTGAGGCCTGGAGATGCTTGTCATGACTGCATTTGCTTAATTAAGATGTGTAATCCTCTGGCTCATCTTTTTGGGACAACCCAGAAAAAAAAATAGTCCTTTTGTCCAAATGTTAACAATTTACAGTTAAGAAAGCCTCTTTAAAGTCAGGAGAAGACAGATCTAATGTCTTTTAATGAGCTGTCATATCTGAATCAGTTGAGATGCTTCTCTATAGGCCCTTCCATAGGCCCTGGCCCTATGGAATAGTTTGGCCCTGGGTTTAATGAATTCTTTAATGTTTAATGTCTTTACTGTTTGGAGCATTCTGTAGGATATGGAGTGATTTCTGGTTTAGAGTTTGCGTTAGTTTCTTCCATAAATACAGTTGATTAATTACATAATTACAAATACTCATGTCACCCAAATTTCAGGTCATGTCTTTCTTTCTAACTCCAAGAGCCACCTATTTCTCAGGAACACCTACTCTTTCATCTAAATCAAACAGCAAGCTACAAAATAAAATCTTAAATTGGGTAGACCCAATCCTCCTTTTTCCTTTGCATCTTGTAACCGCTTCATTTAACTCATTTTTCCCCTGGCATATAAATGTAGATATATCCTGTTTAAATAATTCATCAGTTGTCATCAAAACACTATTGTCTGAAAGAAAAACATTCTTGGAAAGTCATTAATCTTAATCACAGACTTTCTTCCCAGCAATGACAATTCATTCCATGTCTTAACATAATTATTTTGAAATAACATATAATTCATATTTTCCAGAGTGACAATATTTTTCTTCTCAATTTAAAAGCCCATTTTATTCATCAATTTGTTCGACCTTCTGTTTTCATGTCTTTGATAACATTTCTATCTTCTCTTTGTTCTTAAAATCCTGCTAATGTGCCAAATTATTTCACATTATATCACATCATTTCAATTTCACTTTAAAGGATCTTACAAAATCAACACCAAACCATCTACAAAGGCCTTAATTTAGAAGTCTTTTTCTTAATCTTTATTCCACAATTCTCTCATCTTGTCTTATACCTTTATTCAGTATTTCAAGAACCCAAATAAATAAGAGGATGGTGAGCATCCCTGTCTTGTTCTTTTTTATCTTACAAAGCTTTGTTAAATCTTTTTTAATATAAATTTTATTTGGGTTTTCACAAAAACATAATACAAATAAAACAATTTTTTTTGAGAATAGCATGATCCCAGGTTATCACTTCTTCATACAGACACAAACTCAATTTCATATTCATCTTTGTGTTCTATTCCATATTTTATTACTATTTTAACATTTTTTTCCATAATTTTTCCCCTCCCTTGGTTTTCTCAACTGTATTTTTAATTATCACATCTAAATTCAGTTATATATCTTTCTCTAAGTTTTAATGTCTTTCCAATCATTATATTTATACTTTTCTCTGTCCTGTTTCAATTTCATATTATCTTTTCTCATTTTCCCCTGTAGTTACTAATTGGAGTATGACACCTTTATATCTTTTAATTTTATCCATTCAACTCTTATTTAAACTTTAATTTATGCCTTTAAAATTATAACATTCAATATAGTACATAACTTCCAATCGAATTCTGCTTGGTACATTCTTAAAATACACACTATGTTTATCTATCTATCTATCTATCTATCTATCTATCTATACACACACACACACACATACCGTGTTTCTCACAAAATAAGGCTGGGCCTTATTTTTTTTTTTTGAGTCCCGAAAAAAACGGCTAGGACGTCTTTTCAGGGATGAATTACTTTCTCCAACAACAGCATCTGAGTCGCTCCTGCTTTCCCCCCGTCCCCGTAACAACAGGAAAAAAAAGATACCTGGGAACACCGCGTGCTGTGTTTGGTTTAATCCCAAGTGGCTGGGTGGGCGTGAGAAGAGCCGAGTGAGTGTCTCTGCTGCTGCTACCCTTGGTGCTTCAGCCTCGGGCTCTGCAAGTTTGCAAAAGTCCCGGTGCGCAGCCCGTTCCTGCATTCCAAGCACCCGTCCCTCTCTCGCCAGCGCCATCTCCAATAACAGTGACAGCAGTGGTGGGAACCGTGGAAGTTATGGAGGCGGCTCCCCCACCCAAGAAGTGGCTGAAACGCTTCCACGGTTCCTGCTGCTGCCGCCACTGCCACTGTTGATGAACACAATACAGAAGCCTGATGATGGCAGATGAGATTCTGCCGAAACATTGCTACAACTTTAAAAGTACAACTATAATGACGTGGGAAAATACCCGAACAAAGCTGAATACCATACATGTAAGTATCCGCGAAAACTTAAGAAAACAAACACACACATATATAAATAAATAATAGTAAATAAAACACTCGTTCCATTCCAATTCAATTCTATCATTAATTTAGTTGGAATCTTAACGTCTTTAACATTTCTTTTCAATTGAATATCATACTTCCTTGTGAACACTTATAAACTTTCCATAATTAATTCTTTTTTTTTCCATATTTCTCTTCACTTATATTTTTATAAATCATTAATAATAATTAAAATGTTCCCATTCTTTCCTAATTTCATTCTCTCATTCACTTTATTTCATTTATTTATTAACAAACATTCCACTGCATTACAATAAGTATTTTATCCATTTTAATCATACATTGTTTCATATTTTCTAAAATTATTTCTATTTCTAATATAACAATACCATCTTATGTACCTTTGCAGAATCCCCTTTTCAATTAAATTTTCACCCATTATCTGTAAATAGGCTTATACTTTCAATCGTTATACATTTTCTCTGTTTCTCTATATCTTGTTTCTGTCTTTTATCCTTTCCTTCTTCCCCCTCTTCTTCTCCCTCCCCTTTTTGCCCCCTTGTCTCTCTACTTCTAATTCTCTCTTCTATGATCCTCTCTTCTGTTGCTTCCTAATATTGTAATTATTTTTCAAACTATTCTTTTTTTGTTGTTGTTTTTTCAAATCTTAAACTTTTCACTCTCTTTCCCCCCTTTCCCCCCACATAAAATTACTTGATCATTAAAGATGGCTTTTTCTTTGTCCCAACCTTCTTGCTCCACAAGCATTTCTTGTTGTTTCTCATAGTTCCAGATCTCCATTTCTAAAAATTGAAATACGAAGCCAAAAGAACCTCTTCCTTCTGGTGCATCTTCTTTCTGTTTTTTAAGTTCCATTTTCAGTTCTTCTAAAAGTGATGCTATTTTAAACACTTTCAAACAACTACCCGATTGATTTTAATCATTTAAATCCAATAGCCCAAAATCCAAAAATCACCAAGTAATCCAAATAATCCAAAGCTATTTCTTCTTGCTTCTTTTTTTCCCACTTTCTCTTCCCGGGGTTCCATTATTTTGTTACAAAGTTTCAGTTAGAATGTATCTTTTAAGAATCTTGTTAAGGTTTCACTGTAAGTTCCTTTTAGTTCCAGACAGTCTCCTCCATTTTTCCAGATCCCACCCTTTTATTCTTTCCTTTTCTCTCCTTTCCTGCTTTTAAAGGTTTTTGAGTATCCAAAAGTCTTTATTATCCCTTTGACATTTTATTTTCAGCTTAAATGCCTATTGATGTCAAAGTGGATTTTTGTCAATTTCTTACTTAAATCTTTTAGCTGTCAGTATAAGGAAGGGAAGAAAAAAAAAGCCAAATACTTTCCCTTCCCTCTCTCCTTCGCTATTTCAAAGTCTTCTTTGGGAACAATGTTGTTTTTTTATAGTTCATATTCCAGGGTACCTTACGTTGTTGCTTTTTCAGTTTAACCCGGTCAACCAAAACTTTCTCTTCTTATTTTCCTCCTGCACATTCTTTTCCGGTCGAGTTCTTCTTTGAGGTGGCCATTTCTGATCACCGCTGCAACTGCCTTTGGGAAAGGGAGTAATGACCAGCTGAGGAGGAGAGATGCGGCTCTCCTCGACCCTGCTGGCGATCTCCCCCCTCTATGGGATGGCTTAGCCCTGAATCCAGCCGGCTAGGGGCACTCCAGCGGCGAGCACGGATCGAAACCGTGCACGATTGCGGATTTCGGTCCATCGCCGAAGAACAAAGCTTTGTTAAATCTTCATTAACAATTATTTGAGCTTTTTGTGAAATGTAAATCAATGTTACTCATTTTATAATTTTTCCCAAAGTTCATATCTTCTAAAACATTAAACAAGAAAGCCCCTAATCTACCCCTCTAAGAATGCATCTAAGAAAATCAACATGACTTGTTTTTTTATTATGTAGCGCCAAATATTGTAAAATGTTGAACACATTTCTGAGATTATCCTTTAATACTCTTTAAGTAAAAACCTACATTAATCCTCATGAATAAATTTTTGAAAATTTATACTTAGTTTTTTTTTAATGAAAGCACTATGAAGCTTTAGAAAATAATGGCAAGGCCAATTATATTTCCACTTTTCTCAAATTGTCTAATACTCAGAACGATCAGCTTTTTAAATCTTATATAGACCTGGAGATGTATACATATATTTCTTTACAAATATTGCTTTATAGGTACTAATAAAGTACATTATTTTCTGAACATGCTTTTAATAAGGTCTGAAGATCTTTGTGAGCCTCATAATGTAAGGAGAAAATTGTCTATTAGTTTTATATATTTTAATAACATGTCTAAATATTTATAGGTACAAAAAATATTACGTGAAAGATTCTGTCACCTGAATCCAAATGGAAAGTTATTTGGACTTGAGCATCAATATAAGTAAGCAAAAGTATATTTTCCTTTGTTTTTGAGAGTTTCATAATGAATCTCATGGGGTTGGAACCTTGTAGCCTTTAGAGATCTGTCCTTCCCCAAATTAGGTTGGATTTAGAGTTTCACAGAACAGAGAGCTGGAAATGTGATACCACTGTGTAGAGAAGAGGGATGTGATTTGCCTATTTTCTCTCTTCCTATAACTCTATGGCTATTTACAAAGGAGGATATGCTGCTAGGGGTGACGGAGAATAAAATAAGCAAAAATGTTCTTCTGCTCACTAAAATATCAGTTACTAGAATGGAAGGACTTGTAGATTCAATTCATTTTTGCAACCAGAAGGATCTCCCCTCGTTTCTAATAAGGTGTTCTGAATCTAATTATATTGCCTTGTACAATCTCATAGACTTACTAAAAAGATACAACATAAAAAGGAGCATTCAAGACACCAGATGAATACGTTGCTTTTCTTGAGTTATCACAACAGTGACCACTGTGCTGTCTGGTTCTAATAGAACACTTCCCTTGTTAGAACAGGAAGGAAACCATTCCTGAAGGTTCAGGATCTAAATCTGAACCACCAATCAAACTAAATCTGTCAGTCTAGGTAAGACATAGTCAAAATCAGGGAAAATCAAACATTCCGCAACCAACAAGGAGCAAGAAGATTTCTCTCCTTGGTGGAGTTTTTATAAAAGGTGAGGGCCAGCTCCATTTTCTTTTTGCCTTCTTGTATTTTGGTGGTGCTGATGGGTGCAATATGATTGGGTTGGACTGTTTGAAGACCCCCATATGGAAAACAGAGGATCTCACGTTATTACATCCCATCCCTAGTGCTCTGATTATACCTTATAAATTAATACCCAGTTAGTTTGATTAGTATTCAGCCTTTCTATCAGAGAGATACTTAAGAACTTGGTTTGTTGGCTTGAGTATTAGCAATAATAAGATGAAGTGACATCAAGGGCTGTCTAACGATAAGTTCTCAAAATGATTTGATGTTCCTGATCTAGAAGGTCAGTAAGTCCCTTGGCTCCTGGTCTCCCAATCACCCACTGATTCCTAAAATCCCAGTGGCAGTGTTAGGTCTTTAACAATCTAGTCAAGGCCACAGCATTCATGACCAACTTCAGTCTAGACTTACTGTCAGCACAGTTGTACCTTACCTGCAAATGTTGCCATATACGGACATCTGTTGCTCAATAGCTGGAACGTACTTGCCACATCCAAATAATTTTGCTGTTAGCCAAGTAGTTGTCCTGTCTTGAAGGACAGCCCCTTGGCATTTTTTTCTCTGAATGCTGCACTGAGTGACACATGCCCAGGAGCAACATGATCCTTAGTTTTTGAAGTGATGCTAGCTTGCTTATAGATGAAGCTTTCTTTAGCAGACCTGGAACAAATATTGCATTATTTATAAGCTTACTCAGTGAATAGCTACCACTTTGTTATGAACCTTTTGTCAGATGCAGTTAAGGATATTCTCTATCTACAGTTTGAAAAAAAAGCTCCATTTTCTACTCTGGTATATAAATGGTATATAAATAAATGAATAAATGGTATATAGACATTCTCCTTCCCATTAAAGATGAGGGTTTTTTTCCCATTATTTTCAATTATTCATATTCTTACCAATCATATAGTAAACATGAGTTATAATCTTGCTGTATGATTAGAAAACATGTTGATGAATTTAGTAGTTTTATTGGGATTCTTCAGGTATTTGTTTGCTGAAATTTGATTCTTTGGGTATTTGTATGTTTAAAATGCTTGAATGATTAATTTTTTCTTGAGATGAAATTGGTATCTGAAAAATACTAGATATAAATCCTAGATGTGTCCTTGTCTGAAGCTGAAATGTGTGTCTTTTCCCATAGACAGTTACTTGAGCTGATAAAACATACAGCCGTTAATGGTGAAAGTAATTCTGTACTTATTATTGGACCTCGAGGGTCAGGAAAGTCTCTGGTAATACTTTTAAATGTGCTTGTATTTTATATATTAGATAATTGTCATTCAGAGCCTTTATACCTATTAAGCCTTAGCTTTCCCCTTTTAATTCCATATTTAGTGATGTGACTACTGATGGAATACAGGTAATCGTTAACTTATGACCATAATTGAGCCCAGAATTTCTGTTGCTAAGCAAAACAGTTTTTAAATGAGTTTTGCCCATTTTATGATCTTTCTTGCCACCATTGTTAAGTGATTTGCTGCAGTTATTAAGTTAGTAACGCAGTTGTTAAACTGACTTTTCCATTGACTTTGCTTGTCAGAAGGTTGCAAAAGATGATCAAATGACCCTGGGGCATTGCATCTGTTATAAATACATTCCAGTTGCCAAGCAGCCAATTTTTGATCATGTAACTGTGAATGCTGCAACTATCATGTGAAAAATGATCAAAAATAACTGTGTTCAGTATCTTAACTTTGAACAGCCACTAAATAAAGGTTGTAAGTTGAGGACTACCTGCAGTGTTCAATTGCAGAATGGATTGCTTCTTTAGATTTTACCTCTCCCTTTTGCCCCAAGACTCCTCCAGATGTACTGTATAATTCTCAAGAGATTTGTGAGATATGAAATGAAGAAGAGTGAACAGAAGGCAGTTTGTGAAATAGTCAATAAAATTCTTTAAAACAAATAATATCAATTATTTTAGTTTATTGTTACATGTTCACATTTCATTTTTAAGTATATATGCAATTTCATGCAAGTTAGCTTACAAAACCTTTAAAATAAGATAACAACAGATATGACCAAAACTGATTTTTCCTCATGGAGCAGATGAGTGGTAGTGAAAGAACCCTATAGAATTATCCAAAATCCTGTAATGTAATCTATACTGCAACAAGTTTCTAACTCCTGTAATAGATAAAGAAATAGCACACAAAACAGTGTGTTTTATCAAATCTTTTTAAACAGTGTTTCTTTTACTGTCAAAAAATGGCTCTCAAGCTGTCATAAAATGTACCTAAATAGCATTGATACAAGTATGACATCCTCTCTCCCAGTGGGTATTACTATAACAAGTATTGTGATTTCTTCCGACTTCTTCATGTGTCCATTTTCTATTGAACAATCAATATTTCGTGTGCTACATAGAAGATATACTTTTAAATATGCTTTTATTGAGAACCTGGGGTATGTTTCACTCCATATATGTAGAGGTATCAAAAATGGTATTTGGATTCCATGCAACTTTCTTCAAAGGGAAGGAAAAAGGATATTTTTCCAGATTCCCCGCACATATCTCTATCTGGCTTTCTGATTCTGTTTTCCAATCATCTGAAGCAGACTTCAAGTTGCAGAGCTTCACTGGGAAGGAATAAAAGAAAATATCCTATTTCTGTTCTCCAGACCAATGTGCATAATGATTGCATCCCTTTTTCTTGCAGTAAACACCTATGATGAAATTCAGACTTCCATTAAACTAAGGGAGCCTCCCATTAGTAAAAGAATCAGGGATCCAACGAAAGAGCAATAATAATAATGATGATAATTTATGTTGCTAAATAGTGCCAAAAGCTTCTGTTTGACCATAAATAATTAATTATTTAACCTTTTTTCTAGTTAGTTTGTCACGTCTTAAAGAAACTTTTGGAAATAAAGGAGGTAAAAGAGAACATCTTGCAGGTACATTTAAATGGTAAGTAATATTTTTGAATTCAGTTGCCTCAGTCTTGCTTGCAAAGGATTTATTACTTGGAACCCTGACACTTAGTTTTCTTGAAGATCTAACTGTGTCTAAATTTAGACAATGTATTAAGTAATAGGAAACAAGAACTGTTACTGCCATCGACGGTAGCAGGGATAGAATAATACATAACACTTTCTAACTGCCATTTCAGTGTAGGATAGCTTTATGAAAATTATGATTAGTTCACTGAACGAGTTGTTTTGGAGGCAACAATATCTAAATCAAGACATGGCAGCTTTCTAAATGTTGCTGAAATATAATTCCCAGTAGCTCTAACTAATATGGTCAATAATGAGAAATGCAAGAATAGATATTAGGGAATTGTTTTATGCTCAAGAGGAATTGTTTAATGTGGTGCTTTCCTTTAAGTTGGATTGAAAAACATGAAAGAAACACACAAACCTAATTTATGCCATACAGTTCTGAACTTTACTTTCCCTGTTGCATATATCTTGTTTTTTTTTCTCTGAAGATAATGTGTATCAGCTGATAAGTGAAATCAAGAGAAAATAATATATTTCCTTTTATTTGTAGGTTTATTACAGACCAATGGTAGAATTGCTTTGAAAGAGATTACAAGACAGCTAAATTTGGAGAATGTGGTTGGAGATAAAGTTTTTGTAAGAAAAATAAGTTACTTTTAGAATTGCACTTAGCTTTATATGGTAGTATGAATACTAGAATAATGTACTATTAGAATAATTATAATTTTGGGATTGCTTGTGTAATAAGTTAGCTATTGGTTCTCCTTTTGGGTAAGGGGAGAAAATAAATAGAAATAAGAGTCTTTCTTACCTGAAACAGGATGGAATTAAATAATGACTATTGAGGTAAAAATGTGTATTAGGCAATACTTGTAGGATATGAAGGATAGATTTTTCTAGATGTTTTAAATATGTTTATTTTTATCTTCTGGAAAAAAAATCTAACGTTTAATATACAACAAACACCAGAACATGAAAATACTGAGAACTGAAAAAATAAGATTTCCAGGAACCCAGAAAAATGTAATGGATTATATATGTTAAAGGGAAAGGTAGAAACTTGGGTACAAACCAAACTCCACCAATGTTAGCAGGACAAACTACTGTAAATAAACAGGGAGTAAACCCTACTCTCACTAGCCTTAGTGTTATTACCTAGTTGGATAATGAAACATCTGCAAGCAAACAACCAAGCTCAGAGACTGCCAAGAACTTTACAATTCAACCCTAAAATTCTAATTGATTTTTTTCATTAGACTAAACAACACAATTTATTGGGAGAGGGTTTAAATTGAACTTGTATTATTTAGACCAGATTCCTGAATTTGTGATAATAAAATAGTGAGAAAGGTCAGTTCTACCTGAATTTTTTGTAATTCAATGCACCACAAAATTTGAGAATCTCGATCTTATTGAAATAATGCCTCTTTTTTAAATAGGTGTCAAATTCTGATTCTGTACAACTTCAATAATTTTCATTTTAAAGTGCTAAAATTATGGGTTATTGTCAGAAATAGTTTATTGTTACCACCATCATTACTTACATTTATATGCCACTCAACTCTGTGATTTACATATTTAGATAACACTCCATTTCAGCTATTAAAATCCTTGGCTTTTCCCCTGCTCCCTTCCTATGCCACTCCTGCTCAGGACAAAATATTTAAAAGTTGTGTCTATGAATAGAATGATTGGCGTGCAAAACAGTTGGCACACCCCCTAACAACTCTCATATCTAAAAAGGAATTTCAGATGTTCTTGAAACGGAAACGAGGGGAAGTCATTCTTTTTATAGCAAAACAAAACTAAATGATGCATGAATCAATAGTGCATTCTTTGCTTCAGGATGATGATTGAAATATAAGGGAGTTTAGGGATTCCAAAGAACATTAGTGTTAATAGTTTAGCTATTTTGTAGCACAAATGGCAGCTACTGTCATACTATAAATTTCCAAAAACATGTAATTTGCTGTTCAAAGTTTTAGGTGAAGCAGATTTCTAGATAGCAGTTACAATATTGCAATTTTCCCTATGTCAGATTTTAATATACAAATCAATCTTTATAACTTGCTTGTCTTTTAGGGTAGTTTCGCAGAAAATCTTGCATTTCTTCTGGAAGCATTAAAGAAAGGTAAGCATATCTCTTTGATAGTTAATAGCATAGAATCTATGGTTTACTTTGCCACTGAAAATTAGAAAATTTACAGAGGTGAGCAGAAATTAGATTGCACCTAGAAAAGTACACAAACGCTCAACATTTTCTGTGGGCTAGAAACTGAAGACCTGAGTCCTCAAATAAGCAAAATGTACATTTCAAAAGTATAAATATGCTCTTTGGTTTACTGAGGGGTAAAGTTTTGCACAACATTTTGCCAACTATGTTCATGGAAATCTTGGCTTTTTAGGTGGTGACCAGGTTTACATCTTGTCATATTGTCTTGGATTCCTAGGCATTAGACTTCAATAAAAGGGTCAGAGTGCTTGGTAATATGTCTTCTGCCACTTACGGGGGCTGCATCTGTGTCCCTGTGTACTCTTAAAGAAAGCTGGGAGAGTGAGATCAGCTGGTTCTGGAAGGTAGTCAATGCTCCTTTATGGAAGGGGTGTTTCCTGCTGCCTTGAATGTGGAAACACAGTCCTTGTTTAGTGACCATAGTTGGGATCAGTAACCCAGTCATTATGCAAAGTGGTCACTCACTAAGTGGAACTGTGACTTTGCTTTTGATCATTAGCTTTCTCTTGCTTTACAGAGCTACGAAAGTCATAAATGCGAAGATTGGTTGTAAAATTACTTTTTCCTCACCTTTGCAATTGTGGGTGGTCACTAAATGAGACAGTCACTAAAGAACGTCCCTGGTATGTTCTTTAGCGTACCCTTTCTAGAGGAAGTAGATTGTTTGGATCTTTTTTACTCAGAGTTTAGACCTGGTTATGCACTGATGAGTGATTACCTTGGAACTTGATAGGAAGAATATGTCCCCTTCTGGTCCTATTAGTCCTCTCATTAGCTTTTAACACCCATGAGCATGTTATTCTTCTGAACCACTTTCTGGAGTAGGGTGCTTCAGTAGTTTAGTTTCTTTCTCTGTGGTGCTTCCAATTACTTCCAATCACCAGTAACAGTGATTAGTTATTTAGTAGAGGAGGAGAGGTCGGTCTAGTGGGGAAAATAGGAGGAGGGAAAAGTTTTAAGGCATGTTTACTATCTTGAGTTATTTATAAGTAATAAAGACAAGATAGAAATGTAATCAATGTGCCTTGGTTTGAAAATTATTTTCAACAACAGTTATTATATTTATTGTCATTAACGTATGATGGTTTTTTTTCTTGCAAGTGCTCAGAAGCGCATGATTATGGTGATCTAAAAGTCCAGTAAAACAGAAAATAAATAAATATGTACTTATTTGCCGCCTTTTAAATAGATCTGCCCTATTGCATATACAGTAAAATGGCACTTTACATTGGCTCAGCAATATTTCATGCATTTTATAATTTTAGATCAGTGATGAATTTATGAAACTATTGTTTCCTTTTTTACTTTTTTTTTGCAAAACTATTTTGAAAAAACAACTAAATAATAAAGGCGAAATATAATAGTGGTCATTATGTTGAAAAGTGTGGAAAATATTTGGCTGATTAGTTGAGTTCAGACATATCTACCCCCTTGAATTGTATGAGGAAACTTTATTAGTTCTTTTTTTTCTCAGTGCTTGTTCTGCATGGTTGCAGGGTGCCTTGTTTTTACATTGCACTTGCCTCATGCTTACAGTGGAGTTATCAGTACATGACGCCACAAAAGGTTTTGTTTATCAACCAGCTTGTCACAGAGCCCAGTGCTTTATTCAACAATAAAGGAAGAAAATGTTGATTAATTATATAGAGTGCACAAGTACTACTTAAAGTTATTTATATAGTAGTAATCAACATCTCAGTCACTTTATACAGAGGTTCCTTAACATCCAGATTGTAAAGTAAGCTAAAATGCAGATTAATGTAATAACCTTAAGGTGGTTTCTTGAAAGTTCTAATACGTACTAATTTGATTTTGTTTTAGGAGATCGGGATCATAGTTGCCCTGTTTTGTTCATTCTAGATGAGTTTGACTTGTTTGTCCATCATAAGAACCAAACGTTACTATATAACCTTTTTGATATATCACAATCTGCACAGACGCCTATAGCTGTTATTGGTCTGACTTGTAGGCTGGTAAGACAATACAGTTTTTTTTCCTGTAAGTCATTGGAAGTCTGCAAGTTCAAATACTAACTACCAAAACTATTTCTGGTTTGATTACAGGTAGTCTTTATACAAAGGTTGACTTACGACTGGTCACTTAGCAACTGTTCAAAGTTATGATGGACTCCCCCCCCCCCTTGAGTTCCCCCCCCCTCTAATTTTGAGTTATGTGACTGATTTTGAATGCTCGGCCCGCAATTATGGCTGTTTACAGGGCCCTCATGGTCACATGAGTGCAATTTATGATGGTTTTGCTGAAAAACTGATATTTACTTCTGGTTTTTGGCATGGCAGACAACAGGTTTGCTTAACAACTGCAACGTTAGCTTAATAACTGCCACAGAAAGAGTCAAAATTGGGTTAGTCATATGGTGTCCCACTTTATGACTAACACGACTTAACAATGATAATTGCCAGAGCTCAAATGCGGTTGTAAGTCGAGGGTTACCTGTAAATATAAGTAAAGATGCTTTCAGGAGTTGTGAATTGGTTTCAGTTATGAAGTGTAGGAAGCTGTTTCACCCATAACAGTGCATGAATAATATAATAGCCAAAAGTACTTCACTTGCTACTGGCTTAAGGTTTCTTCCTGATGAATTTTGAAAATTCTACAAAAGAAACTTCATACAGGTAGTTCTTACGTTTTTTTATTTGCTAAACCATGGAGTCCTTAGTGCTTTCTGAGCCTGGTTGTTTTCTTGTAGATGCTTCGTTGCCCAACTAAGTAACATCTTCAGTGCTAGAAGGCACATGGGTTTCTACTACCAATGATGTTTACCTAGTTGTATAATAAAATATCTGCAAGAAAAGAACCAAGCTCGGAGAACTCCAAGGATTTCACAGTTCAACCCTGAGCTACAAATAATATCTTATGTGGCTACTTGCTAACCCACTCAGTGTTTTGGAAGAGTAACAGACACACAAAGTGAAACCAATTATCAAAAGCAGAACCATTCAAAATATGGATTGAAAAAAACCATTATTCTGAGCATGGAACTACATTCCTTCTGTTCATGTTTTTGATGCTTCAAAACATCTGTTTCTCATCTCTGAGGCATGAAATGTTAGACTAGATGGACAGTTGTTGCTTGATTTAAATAGCTCTTCTAGTTTGCAGCGTATGAATGTTCACCATAATTTATTTTAAATTTGAGGATTTTAAATATCATTGCAAGCTCTTAATATTTTAAGATATCTCTAGATGAATTTATCTATGAATTAGAAGTTTGACTTGTAAACATCTGAGTTTTATTCAGAGCTACCTTTGAAATTTATGAGCTCTGCAGAATAAAAGCATTAGATTTTTATCATTAAATATCCAATATCCTTGGACTAAATGCTAATTGCAAACTGTATTTGTGATCTTTTTTTAGGATATTCTAGAACTCATGGAGAAAAGAGTGAAGTCAAGATTTTCCCACCGACAAATATACTTAATGAATTCCTTTGATTTTAAAACATATTTGAATATTTGTAAAGATCAATTATCTCTTCCTCCAGAATTTCCAGAAAAGACCTTTATCAAAAAGTGGAATAAACACATAGAGGTAATTTAAATAAAGGCATAACAAGAAACTGAATTGCCTCCTGAAGGTTCTCCAGATAAACTCTGGGAACAGAAATGACATTGACAGGTTACATTCTTGTTTCCAAGAATGTGTGTGTGTGTGTTTGTGTGTTTTATGAGTACATTGGTTTTATATATGATTGAAAAATTGGCGAGGCAAACATGGATCCAAAATCAGTTCGCCTTTGGGCCATTTTCTCCATTTTTGGAATCCTGTAGATTTCTGAGGACCAAAAGAAACAACAAGGAAGGAAGGTCAGTTGGCCCATTGTTGCTGTGGCCTGCAAGATCATTCTCTTTGCAGAGTTAGTATTAAAGGGTGGAGAACATCAATGTGCAGATCATGTGACTGCCATTTTGCTCCTTTAGCTTTCTACATATAAACACTTCATTTACTTCACACCTTTATTGCTTCATAAGTAACTCAAGGTGGCAAACACACACAATACTCCCTCCTCTTTTCCGTACAACAGCAACCCTGTGAGGTGGGTTTGAGCTGAGAGAGTCTAGGCTAGGCTAAAGTCCTCCAGGTGGCTTTCATGCCTAACCAGAATATACAGAGGTGCTTTGCACATCGTTTCGTTTTTGTCAAATCAGCCCTGCATCCACATGCGATGTGTAGTCATCAGTGATACAAAGTATAAAGCAGTTCATGAGCCTGGAAAAAGACGCAGCTGCTTTATTAATTTGATGGGAAATGTTTGTTCTTGTCAACTTAAAGTATCTCTTTCAAAAGATGTGCATAGTCCCGTAAGCTTAACTATAGCCACCATGAACCATAATCATCCATGATCATGAATGTTTCACTACTGACTACTTCTGCTAAACCTCTGAGAGCTTCTGCGCTATGGTGGAGTTGAAGCAATTGAATGAGTCATTCAGGCAATGAGTCATTGTAAGCTTACTCATTTTATTCAGCTCTCTTTCAATCTGGTTCATACCGTTCTCTAAACAAGATACATTTTAAGTGAGATGTCTTATCTACAGACCCAGATACTGCTTAAAAGTTTTGAGTTTTGAAAAAGGACACGAAATGCCAAGTGTTAAGTAGTTAGTATATAACCTAAGAGGCAACTTTTAAAACACAGCCACTAGCATATATTAAATTCTAACTAATTTATTTAGCAATTGTTAAACGGTTAAACAGTCGCCTTAAAATTTAATTTCCCGCTCGTAACTCCCTCATGTATTCCTAAAACTATTAAAACATGATTTATGTGATTTCATTCTTACATGCCTTTGTTATACAATGAAATCTCAGTTTTGGAGACATTAATACAACAGACCTGTGTCAGGAAGCATATCTTTGTTTTAAATTATATAAATTATAGCAATCCCATACCTTCATATTGTTCATGAGTTTCACTTTTTTTATAAACTAGTGTCCCGTCTCCCCCCAATATAGAATAAAACCTATTATGTGCCCAATGGCCATTTATTTTGCTTAAATAAGTATGGATTTACAGGAGAATTGAGCAGTGTTGATATCTTTCCTCCTGCTTTGATTCAGTGACACCTTTCACCAAAAACAGCAACATATTTTATAAGTGCAAATAAGGAGTAGTACTGATAACTCTTAATTGGAGAAGTCTACCATCAAAGTAGTTTATTATTTATGAGATAAATGTTCATAATGAAGCCTTTAATTCAAGTTTTTGGACTGAAACAATTACTACAGAGAAAGCTTTACTATGCATATCTTTGAGGAATATTCCATGGGCCATAGGAATTTTCAAAATCTTCCCCTTTTGCTGGAGCAAAGGAACCATTTTGTAAGCATCATTGGTGAACTTTCAGAAGGAACTATAGCAAGTGTTTTCTCAAAGCTGAATATATAAAGTAGGCATGCTGAAATGGATTCACAACCTTACTCTGTTTTTGAAACTTAAGTTTATTTGTGAAGTTTATGGAATGTGGACCAAGCAGTGGACTGACTTGGTGGGGTGGGGTCAATTTTGGATTACCCTGTTCCAGAGGTGAGAGTGGCTCCCACTTTTCATCAAACCCCCCGGAGCAAGGTAGTTTCCAGAAAATCAGTTTCATAAACAATTTCATTTGGGAGTTTAATGCAAGAATTAGGAACAGCCTTCATAATCTTGGAAACTAATCTGGGACATTTTATCTTTTTTGTTAGTGAGGTCATTAAGGGAGTCTCATTTAAAAACTTAAAGCAGCACTATTGCTATAGAGCAAGTTCTGCCTTAAATTTCTCCCTTTCCATTCTTAGAGGAATAGAAATGCCTCGGAGTTAGTTTTATGATAGTTGCATCTCTTGGAACCTGATATCCCGTCTGGAGGATAATTTGCTCATTCAGTTGCCTTAATCTGAAATGTAGCTGTGTTTTAATAATTTATAATTGAGAGATTTAAAAGGGGGTTTGAAATTGGTTTAAATTTTCTAAAATTGATAACAGAAAGTCCTCATATAACAATGGTAAAACTGAGACTGGAATTTTTATTGCTAAGTGATATAGCTGTGAATTATGTACACATATGAATCTGCCACTTATTTTTGCAGAAATTCTGATACTTCCGGTTGTTGCTGTTAAGTAAAGCACTACAGGTTGTTAAATGAGGACATTGCATGGTTACCAATCTCCTGATGGCTTCCCCATTGACTTTGCTTGTAGAAAGCCAACAGAAGTTGCAAATGGTGATCATGTGTCTGTGGGATGCTGCAACATCATAATTGCAAGTTCACAGACAGCGGGATATTGTAGCTTTTGTAAATACAAGAACCAGTTGTAACCATCTCTCATCCAGCACCATTGTAAATTCAAATGGTTGCGGAATGAATGATCATTAAGCAAAGACTACTGTATGCCATTCTCTCTAATAATGCATATTTGTGTTATTGATAAATATGTAATCTTAAATGATTTGATACATAATCTTATGTTTTGATGTAAATTAAGCAATTCTTAGTCTTTACTTTTTATAAAGATGTTACAATAGAGTGATAAGTTATTTTAAAATTAATTTTAGTCTCTTCTAGAAGACATAAAAGTTCAAGATGTTCTACAAAATCAATTTTATTATAATAAAGACCTGCGGTGTCTGTTCATGTTGCTGGTAAGATGTTAGTATTTTAATTTCTTATTTCTAATCAAGAAATAAACTAGCAATTCTGATAAATGAAAGAAGTATTATTACTAAGGAAAAAATCTGACTTTTAAACTAAAGTTTATAATCAATACATGATAAGTGGTTTAGATATTTTTCCTTAAAATTTTCATAATCTTTAGCAGGTAAAACAAAAACCTAGAAGTAATTTTCAGGGAAGAAAAAATAATTTAAATTAATGCAATGTAATGTTAAGAACATACTGTATTCCAATTATCGTTGTGTGAGACTGAGCATAAAAGTTTTTGTGATGAATCCATTGCAAGCATAAAATTGTGGATTTTTAAAATGTCATTATTCTTGTATTTAGATAGGACCTGCAATTTGGATGCAGAATTGAAAAAGTGATTTAACATGCTCTGAACAAAGAGACGTCACTCAGAAGATTTTATTGGAACATTCTGAGTGGGGTTTCTTTATAAACAAAACAGAAATCAATTGAAGTAGTAGTTTAATATAGAAAACCATGGGAAATTGCTCATTTATTAGCCTGTAGTGGTAGTCCCATGTTGGTTGCTATTTACCACTCTGCCTCTATAAAGAGATAGTGTGATGGAGCCATGCTGCCACCCTCAATTCCAACCAAAAAGGACAAGTCCAAATAAGCCCGAGCAAAACATCTACATCCACACCACAAGTTTTTCACATGACTCAGCTTTATGCCAAGCAGATACTCACTATTGATCTTTCATCAGGTCATCTAAGTTAGCCAGCTTGAATTTTCCATCTTGGAGAGAGCGCTTTACTTCCAGATTTGTCCTATCTTGGGCAAGTCCAATATACGGTGTATTTATTCTGAGAACAAAGAATTACTGCATCTCTTTCCTTCAGTAATAATCTATCATTACTTTTTGTGAGAAATTGTAGATTTTATTTTGGAACGAAGAACATTTTCTATTTGCAGATGCTTGCTTCGAATAATATAACCGTGTCCCACCCTTACATTCGCGTCTCTGACTTCCTGGAAGCCAATAAACTCTGTAGGATGGACACAAAATCAAATATTGTGCATGGTAAGATAATATTTGAGAAAAAGAAGAATGTATAATTTTTTTAGTACAGGTAGTCCTCCACTTATAATAGTTCATTTAATGGCTGTTCAAAGATACAACTGCACTGAAAAATGCGACTTACGATTGTTTTTCACAGTTACGTCCTTTGTAGCATCCTCATAATTTTGTGATCAAAATTCAGATGCTTGGCAACTGGTTCATGTTTATGACCATTGTCTTTTGGGTATTTTTAGAGTTGCCAGCATCTGTCTCCCAAGGTCACGTGATCACCTTTTGTGACCTGACAAGCAAGCCATTGGGAAGCTAGATTCACTTAACCGGGTTACAAACTTATCAACTGCAGTAATTTACTTAACTACTGTGGCAAGAAAGGTCTTAAAACGGGACAAAACTCACTTACGAGCCTTGGTGGCACAGTGCTTAGAGTGCAGTACTGCAGGCTACTTCTGCTAACTGCCGGCTGACTACAATTTGGCAGTTCAAATCCCACCAGGCTCAAGGTGGACTCGCCTTCCATCCTTCCGAGGTGGGTAAAATATGGACCCAGATTGTTGGGGCCAATAGACTGACTCTGTAAATCGCTCAGAGAGGGCTGTAAAGCACTATGAAGTAGTATATAAGTCTAAGTGCTATTGCTAAATGCTATTAATAAACGTCTCATTTAACAACAAAAACGTTGGGCTCAGTTGTGGTCGTAAATCAAGGACTTCTTGTGTAACATTAAAGGAGGAAGTGATTATTACATATGGTGGATGTTGGGTAGAAACATCCACCAGAGAAACATGTTTTCTCCATTGTTTTTGAAACTTGAGTAGACTTACTACTAAACTAGGGTTTTTCTCCACATAAGAACTGTTAAGATAGAGGGGGAGAGAGAGTATGTTACTCACTCTCTCTCCCCCTCTAAAGACACAGAGACACACATGCATAGATAGCTACGTACATGTATTTTTTATTAAAGAATTTTTAAGAGAATACAAACAATGCAAAATTTGAAAGAGAAAAAAAAGTAACAAATAAAAAATACAAAAAAGAGAGAAGGGAAAGAAAAACAAAGGTTATTATCCTTTCTATAATCAGACAAGTCAATTTTACTATCTTTACTAATTCTATAATCTTCACCTCCATTGGGTGTATTTCAGAGTCTTTCCGTTTTTGTGCATATACTGTAATAATTTCATAGCAGTTACCATATATATAAACATAATATTCTACTTTCTAATTTCTGCAGTCATGTGCGTTTCAAGTTATAACATAATATAAATATTTTCCATTGTTCCATTAATATATCGTGTCCAAAAATTTAAGCCCTTTTTATTATATATGCTTTCACTTGTTATTCTTCCATTTCAAATTTTGACAAAAGTTTATATGGCTTGGCGATTACGTGCTCATCAATTGTACATAATTCAAATTGTTTTGTGCTGTTCAGTTCAGACGTCCTGCTCTCTACCTTGAATCCCTTAAACTATACATAGGAAAGCTAAAACCTTCATTAGTCAATTTCTTGGATTTTTCATCTTCTGACAGCCCTCTCTATATCTATATTATCCATCTCCCTTTGCCTTTTCTTTTCTATAAAATGCTTCTTGTGCATTTTTGGGCACAATCTGAGTTTATATCCATATTCCATACTAACACTCAACTTTGAGTAGAATCCATATTGATCTTCATCAATAAAGATAATTTTCATCTCAGTAAAATAAACTCAAATAACCAAAAATTGTTAGGATAACCTTGAAAGTCCAAATGCATGTGACAAATGGCGTCTGTAAAAAAAAAAAAACTGATTGCAAGTCCAAATTTTGCATATTCTATTTGAACACCAAAATTATACTTTGGATATTTCAAAAGAGACAGTGCTAATTTTTATCATCTTTCTCTTGTAGGTCTGTCTGTGCTGGAATTGTGTCTCATAATAGCTATGAAGCATTTAAATGATACTTATGAAGGAGAACCATTTAATTTTCAGATGGTTTATCATGGTGAGGTGATAGTAGGTGTTCTTTTAAAAAGACATGCTCTTCCCTAAAGCTGTAAAGTAATACATGTTTGTTTGTTAATGCAGAGTATCAGAAGTTTGTTCAGAGGAAAGCCCATACTGTGTACAATTTTGAGAAGCCTGTTGTCATGAAGGTATGTATAGTTTCTCTTCTAGAAAAAGGATTGTCACAGAACATTACTGTTCCAGATTCTTTAACATTTAAACATGGTTTTTCTAAAACTGGTGCTGAAACACACTGCTTATCTGAATTTGTGTATTTGACCATTATGTTTGGTGTTGTACTGCCCTCTGGTGGTCAGTTAATGCATTTGTGCAGCTTCCCTCTTTAAACTAATTTAGGGCTGATTTTGACACCCAATTAAGGTTTAGATGAATTGTGATTTTAATTTTCCTTGTACTTTTCTAGTGAATTAAACTATAGAATATAGTTTAGACTGAATCTACACATGATTCACTTGTCTTTTACTTCATTTTTAGGCCTTTGAACGCTTGCAGCATCTTGAATTGATAAAACCCGTAGAAGGTCCATCTAATTCTGTACAAAAAGAATATTTGCTAATGAAACTGCTCCTGGACAACAGCCAAGTTATGGAAGCTTTGCAGGTGTATCCAAACTGTCCAACGGATGTCAAACAATGGGCTACAACTTCAGTCCATTGATAATATATTTCATAAATTTGAGTTGCATTGAAGTTAACCAGTCTTCAAAACCAGTGATATCATTTGAAAAAAAACATCCTGCAATTATAGGCATTGGTCTTCAGCTGTTATGGGACTGGCTTAAATAATTGGAGGGACGGGGTTCTCTTCATTTTAAGTAAAGGAAAATTTTCCAAGAAGTATATTATTTGGACCTAGATTAGAAATTACCATATTAAAATGTTCTCATGTATCAAATGAAAGTAATCTTCATTTTAGTTTGTTTTAATTTTTTCTGAACACTAGTATCTATTGCTCAGAATGTTTAAAAAGAAACTTCTTAGGCAAATAAAATTGTCGCTAAAGTATCTGAAAACTCGTGTGTTTTGTTATAGTTCGGTAGAGAAGTAAGATTTTTTTCCAGAGAGTTGAACTGACTCAACATCATTTTGTGAATGTATTAGTAGTTATTCAAGACACAGGAACTACTGTCTTAATCTTAAAATACCATTCCAATAAAAAAAATGATTTTGATTTTTGAATATTGTAGTAACAACTTAATATTCCCTGACAAAGTGGCATTGTAACAGAACAACCTTAGGTAGACATCTCTGTTCCCTGTAAAATTTGATAAGATTGCCCACTTGGGAGCTAGGACCATAAGAAGAAATCTTTTAATAATAGTGATATATTCCTACCTACTGTTTGTTGAATTAATGCGATATAAAATTGGATATTAAAGGCAACCTATTTGTAAATTACCAGGTTAAATGGTTATCTGCCTCACTGGAGACTGAAAAGTATAATTTGGTTTTATGGATTATTCATATTAAAAGAGACATTCTGTTTTCAGATTTAAAAAGGCTGTTGGTGTGAAATTTTGGTAGGATGGGCAGTTAATTTAATGTTGGAAGAAAACAGTACATTCAAAATATACTAAGACACTAATTTGGTTCATCTAATGAAAGAATGTATTTGCATATATGAACTCTGTAATTCCTATCATTGGCATTGATTTGTACTGCCATTTGAAGCAAAGGCTTCTCAAAACTCCTTATTTTAAAACAAAATAATACAATTAAAACTGAAATGCAAAATGTACAAACTAAAGTTATAAGTAACTAGTTAGGCAGGCTTTCTCTGTTATGGACCCTTTTGTCACATCTTGTTATCTTTAAATTTTTACAGTCCCCTGGGGACCAGCTACAAGGAATTAGTAGAGCTGTTTCTCATTAGCTCTTGAATGAAACTAGCATAATATTTTGGAACCAACAGATATATTGGGAAGATATTGGACACTCGCAACAGATGCCCTGAAAAGGAGGAAGGCCTTTCTAGTTACCAAATGGATGTGATGCACAGTCATAAATATACCATTTAATATTAGCCAAATGAAGTTTTTTTTTTAATGCAACATGCTTTTTATCTGTCCCAAAGGTGCTTTTTCAAGAGGCAACTGGACTTTCTGTTTTTTTTCTTTGAAGATGTTTCACTTCTAAGAAGCTTCAACAAAGCTGAAGAAGTTTCTTGGATGAGAAGCGAAAGAAAACAAAGAAAACCTAGAAAAAGGAAAGAAAACCTAGAAAGTCCAGCTGCCTCTTGAAAAAGCACCTTTGGGACAACCATGACCTGGATGAGTGAGAAGACATGCTCCCTAGACATGCTTTTTTTTACCTTTTTTTTCTGAACACCTAACCACACCTCCAAATTATTACTTTGCCACTGCCTGGAACTTGGCGGCTTTTCTTTCAGTGTTGCTTTAAGACCTTTTTTTGTTTTTAAAGAATTCCTAGATCAAGGAATATTGACAGGTATAAAGTGCTAAGGGAAATCAATCCAAGATATTTCATTGCTGCCACTCTGCTAGAATCTTGACAGAACTTCCAGAAGGATGGGAGAAAAATTCAAAGTTATTTTCCAAATGTGTTCACACCAAAATTGTTATAGGATGCTTGTGTTTAAGCAGCTTTGCAGTTTCTACGAAGTGTAATATTGCAAGCAAAGCATTCCATTATAAAGAATCTTTGCAACAGATCTCTGGTGAACTTCAAATATACTACGGTCAGCACCTGCAACCTGCAGTAGGAAGGTCATTCCCTTTTTGTATGTGTGTGCATGTGCGGACGTTTCTCTGTATATGTGTGTGTGTGAGACCGTGCACGTGTTTCTTCCTATGTACCAGAGATACCATGTTGTACTATTTTTATCCCTTGCTTATTGCCCCTTTTTGAATATTCAATGCTACCTAGTAAATTCATACCAGAAGCATGAATGAAAAGACTACTGTATATAATTGGTTTTTTTTTGTTGTTGTATTGCATCAAGCCCTTAACCAAATTAATAACAAGTATCTCCTGGAAATATTTAAGGCCTAGTGAAATAAAGTAACAGTGTGTCCATAATTCAAGGAAGTTTTAAAAAAACCCATCGGAATTCAATTATACATGAATAGTTTACCTGATGCTTGTTACGCCTATGGTTTGCTCATGTTTTTCATTACAATGTACCCAGTTAGTTTGTTGCTTTAACTACAGGCTTACTCAGCAATAGTTGTGAAGCCAATAAAGATCCTGTGGTGGTGCAGTGGTTTGAATGCAGTATTGCAACCTAACTCTGCCCTCAACCTGCAGTTCAATCCTGATGGGGCTCAAGGTTGACTCAGCCTTCCATGAGGACCCAGATTGTTGGGGGCAATATGCTGACATTTGTAAACTGCTTAAAGAGGGCTGCAAAGAACTCTGAAGTGGTATATAAGTGATATTGCTATCCTGACTATGTTAATTATCAGGGAAAAAGTTAAATTCATAGAATTGTACTTATTTATAAACTCTTCTTCAAGCAAGAATTGGGGAAACAAGTGTATAGGGCCTACACTTGCATTTTGTGATATAAAGTTGAATAGGCTTCATCACCCTCATTATATGCTTAATTGCTGCCACGTAAGTTACTGCTCTGCATGCTATTTCTTTGAAACTTTTTCTGTCACAGAAGTTTTCCAACAATCATAGGCTTTTTGTCAGACTGACTAAATTAATTGACCATAGAAACTTAATGAAGTGGGCACTGCCTCTTTGCCATCAGATTAATCAGTAAAAATGACACCATTCACTACCATTTTTATTATGCTCGCTCTAAGAGAAAACAGAATGTAATATAGAATAGAGGTTATTTTGGAAAAGTGAGCGTATGTCTGACCTCAGAATATTCATGATTGCTCTATTACTTACTGAAAAAGGCCCATGATTATACCTGACATCAAAATTGTTTCTTGAAATACAAATCCTTCCCAATCATATTAGGTATAATTGTAAGTGAAAATGAGGTGGTTCCTTAAAAAAAATCTTTTCCTGTTACACAGAAAGGGAGTGAAACAGTACTGTCTAGAGCAGGGTGTCCCATTGTGGGCTATATCAGGATTTGGTTTGCCCTTGGGGGGCTGGGATGGGCATGGCCTTGTCATCACAGCTGACTGGGTAGGCGTCGTCAGGGTGCCAGTCCCTCATCGTCTCTTGCCCCACGGGACAAGTCTAGGCCTATCGCAGGCTGGATTTGGCCCATGGGCCGCTTGTGATGTCTGCTCTAGACCATGGCGGATGGGGTGTGTGTGTCTCCAATCTTTTAGCTTACCTGGGCTGCATTGAGTGAAGAGGAATTGTTCAACAGTATCTAGGAAGTCCTGGGCTTCCTTGAAGTCCCACATTTGGAAGATAGGTGATAATTTGGACCTCATTCTTAGAACAAGCACTACTCAACTACAACAGAGCTTCTTCCTATGTTGTATCTGAAAATATGAAATATGTAATCATAGGGTCATGATCTGCAGCACTGTCTTCAGTCATTAGGACACTTTGTCCCCCAAGAACTTTTTTCATATAGACTGCGGTACACTGAGAATCACATGAATTGAGCTACATAGTTTGCAATCTTTTATTCAAATTATCAGTTTAGTTTATCAGAACTATCAAGCTTTTTAAAGTTCAATTATATCAAACAACAAAAAGGGAGGATTTCTTTAGATACATTAGTTAATTCCTGATTTCCCATAGATATAATTCCCTCAGTGGCACGTCCTATGTCTGTTTTGCTCTGGGTGATGTAGTCTACTTCTGCAGAATAGATGTGATTGTAAAGATTTGCTGCTAATATTGGCCAAAGCCATTTCTAGTATAAATATTGAGTTTTAATTATTCCTAGTAGCCCCTTTACCCCCATAAAAAGAACCCCAAATTGAAATGCTGCTCTTAAGACTTTCTTTCTGTCAAAGAACATTTCATGTGTGATTGCTCAATTTACTGTTTCCAAATTGGCAAAACAAAATCTGAGAATAGTAACCATTGTTTATGTGCAATATAAAAGAGACTTCATTTTAAAGAATGAATCAGAACAGGGTGCAAGTCATAGTAGTCACTTAATTTTTTATTCATTGTTCTGTGGGAATAGGGAAAGAGAAGCATACATTTATACCATATTTCACAATCACTTTTTATCCAGGATGGGGTTATTCTTAAATACTTGCCGAAAAATAGCAAGAGCAATTTGACAGTAGTACAACAACCTGTGCCCAGAACACTGACAAGTACCGAGTAAAGCTAAAATAATTGCTTACCAATATTTTGAGAGGTAACATCTTATATGGGCTTGAGTGTGCGTCTTAAAAAAAAAAAGTACTGCTGGTTGAATATATTGAGGTAAATGGTGTTCCAACAAGGATATTATTTTTATCCCTTGTCTGTAATCCTGTACATAGCTTGCTGAATTTTATACCAAATATTCCTAATAAAAATGCATTAAAAAGTTTAAAAAGAGAATTGGAAAAAAGGTCAACCAATCAGTCACCTCACTTTGTTAAACTACGATCAGCAATTTTATTCTGTAGAACAGTAGTATGAACACTATGTATTACTACTACATCTGATTACACCTTAATTATGCAAGAGCTACTCCACATGGATTTTGCTATCAAAGAAAGTATTAAGTTGTCCAGACTCATTTTCAGAATACCACCATGAATGAGAACACTAGGTCAAAGAACTCCAACAATTACGAGGCACAATCTGTTCCAAAAATGCTAAGGTATATTTAGCGACTGTACAAAGAGTAGTCATGCATCATGTGATATAAAGTTCTTCGCATCTAACACAAACTGAAAAGGTATTGCAAAGTTTGGACTTCGAAGTTGTTCACAAAAACTGATCAGTTAAATCCTGTGGCAATTATATGGCAGCCAACTAAGTAGTCACAGGCCAATCAAAGGACAATGAAAGCTCAAGTCTCAGCCTGGGCTTTCCTTCACAAGTCAAAGCTACAAGGGAAATCACCAGAGCTGGCCAGATCAATACAAGCTGTATGGTTCAAGTACAAAAAGCAACAACAGCCACAATATCTGCCAGAAAGCAGAGCACTTTTCCTAGCTCAGACATTAATGGGTTAAATTTCCTACGATAGATCTTGGCTTAAGCATTTGGAAAGAACTGTCCACCCTTAAATTTTTCAAAAAAAGAAGTCGAGATTTCATGCGAGACTATTTTGGTGGATTTTTATTTTG